CAATATCGCGAGGAAGAAGCTGCAGTCGGTAATTCCTTATTTTCCTCTATTCTTGATTGGAAGTTTCTGTTGGTCTGGAAACCGGCGCGACGGCCAGACGATCAATTGCACGCAACTGCGACTTCCCGTAGTTGCGGATGCGTCGACTGCGCGAGCCGCTGACCGGCAAAGTTGAGATACAACTATTCTGCTGTCTTGTGAGCGCGTTTGCGTTGTTCGACTCCGCGACAGTCCGGACCAACTCACCGGTACATGCTCGTCGTGCACCGGACTACACCGGATCAAGTTTAATTCGGTTATCTCGAACGCGCGCGATAACTCCAGGGCTTCCCTCTTTCTCCTCGCTGCGCAAATCAAGCGGGCCTGGGATTCATTGAGCTTACACGTCGCATCGAGATCGCCTCAGAACTGCTAGCGCGAGCTACCGATCCTTCAAACAGATGCTCTGCACCAGTTTCGACGTACAGAAACCTGAAAGACCTCCCAACACTTTGAACCAGGCTCTCCGAAACCAGTTCCGCTTGTCTCCTTCTTTCAACTAAGCATCAGACGGGAGAAGGTTGTCTTAAAGATGTGAGTCTTTCCATAGAAAACAAGAACCACGCTGAGAAACAGCTTGGCTTGTTCGCACAATCTCGCACGAGAAATGCTTCGGAGCAGTCCGCTGCTCCGCTACCTGTCCCGATTCGGCGGACGACTCAGAGACGCCGCGAAAGCTCAAACACTTTCCTGAGCGATGTCTGGCGGAGTCGCTTCAGGATTGCGCGCGTTCAGTGGGATCATTGATCACTGGTCGGAAGCGGCAATTCGAATCGCGCACTCTTCGACCTCGACGACGATCGAGTAAGCAACGACGAAGAATGCCAGTCACCGGTTTATCGCACGTGCTCGGCGATGGTTCGCGTCGTGCGGACTTGGCGATTATCGCCTCGATCGAGTGGCAACTGCGACAGCAACAACCGCGTGGTGCGACCTGAATCTGCTTGGGTAGATTCCACGGGATCTACGAGACTTGCGAGAGCAACGCGGCGACGCGCGGTGTACGGCGTTCTGAATTTATTCGTATGCTCCGTATCGCTCTCTTGGCATGCCTCTTTCGCTCTCTCCCTCTCCCTCTCTCTCTCTCTTGTTCTCTCTCCTTCTTTCTCCCTCGGTCTCCAGCTCCTCGATGTTCTCCGATTTCCCCTCCAACGGGACGACGTCGTCGGCTGGGTAACCGGGATGCTGGCTTGCGCCAGTTCGAGCCAGTTTGTCGGCGACGATGCTCGCGGTCTACTTTCGTCCCCCACTTGCCATTCTCCACCACTAGCGAACAACCTCCACTACCACGACCATCGTCGCCGCTACCACCGCTAAGATAGACTCCCACCAGCTGCAAATCGGCTATCCGGCAACGTCGCAGTGCTTCTGATGGAGGGGTTTGCGATGTTCTTTGTTTTTCTGTTCTTGGGCCTCATTTTAAGGGAATCTTGGTGAAACGAGAAGTAGACAGATCTCTCACACACAGTGGATCTGCTTTGATTTTTATTTTCCGAAAGAGAGATGCGACGCAACTTTCGCGCGTTCTCTTGTATCTTCGTCGTCCTGAACAGCCCTTTATTTTTATTTGAACGAGAAGAAGGTGTAAAAGACAGACATAAAATTTCTCATTGTGGAGCAACGTTCTCCATATCCTCCAAGTCCTCTTAGTCGTTCCCGATTATGCTCCTCGTGACGAGGATAACAGAGGCAGCGGAAAAAAAGAAAGAAAACTCAGAGACAAATATATCTTCCTTAATCAGTATTACGCCGCGGCTGGTCTTTTCCAGTCCAGATTTCATTAGGCAGTTTGCAACAGCCAAAACGAGCAACGTGTGATTTTGCAATTTTGCAAAATTTTGGTCCAGTAGAGCAAAAAAAGCGATGATAGAAAAAAAGAAGAGGAAGAAGAATCACAACCAATACGACATAAACTTTGCAGAAAAGAGACAGTATTTGGTCGGTAAAGTTTTCAAATATGATGTCCCCTTAATATGCGCTCATATATAACAGCGCAACGGTTGTAACTTACCTATCGTTATTATATTTAAGAGCCAATTGTTCCAATCTCATGATAAGTTAACTAACAGTTGAATCATATGTCTATCTCTGTCTAATTTGAAGGAGAAACTAATACAAACATATGAGTTAACTGTTAGTTAGCTTACCAAGAGATAAGCCCTAAGTGTGTTCTAGTTTCGCACAATGTGGTGCAGCTTTCTGTTGCGAAAATAGGCCTGTTCTTTCGGCGCGCGCGCGAGCGACGCCGCGAAGGTCGCGCCGACTCGAGCCGGTCGATAGCTCGATAGCTCGCATCGCGAACGCGAATATAAATAGCTCGCGAAAGTAAAAACGCGGCCCATTGGCGGATCAGGTGGTGTCGGAACTGTTTCGCTATTTATATCCTTAAAACAGGTATCCGTCGATCGCCAGGCGGGTGACGCAACCGTTCAACTAACTGCGCGGCGTTTCGGCACGAACGCGAGTGAACGGAAATTGCGACGAAGTGGAGGATCGCCGCGTCGAATTCGATTCCTCGCGACGCATCTAGCAGCTGGGATTTCGTTCTCTCGCGACTTCGCGAGCAAAAAGTCAATGACTCGCGGCGCATAATCGCGCCTCGACAAGCGCGCAGTTGCAGGGGGCGTTTGTTTCGCGCGTCGCTATTTTCGGAGGAAGATACGAATATGTCGTTCTGACGACGACGGGCCGTTTGACAGGCCGGATGATTAATTATACAGTTAGGCGGGCGCCCGAAACCTGCCGTATCCAGAATCGACTAGTTGCTGTTTGCATAGTAAAGCACGAGCCGCTCATCTCAGTTCGACTCGAGACTTCATATATTCGCGTCTCCTTGAAGACACTCGATCCGCCATCGCGCTAACGGCCATCGGACTTCGATAGCAATGGAAAAAGTGACACAGCGAGTATCTCTCCAAAAAGCAATAGAACTCTCGTGACACTCTGATCTTTCACTAACACAGATTCGCGCTGAGCGCAATCGTGAATTTCATCGACTTCGCGACTCGCGTGCCGTTTTATTTCGACCTTCTCCGATCTCTGTAAATATTATTATATCGCGCGGGCATTTTTGTCCTTTCGTAAGGTCTAACAAACGGAAGAACTAAACCTGTTAATCGAATAGCTTTCAAGGATAAAACCGTCAGCGATACAAAGACCCGTGATAAATTATTAAGAAGCTACCTAGCTTCCTACCCGAACTATCAGTTGTATTGGATTCTTTAAATTAGATAGACAGTTCTGGTATTGGCTTCTCAAACTCGCTGCAGCTATGTTGGATCATGACATCAAAAACAAGAAATTACACGATGAAAATTTTTGCGTATCATTTCCAAATAAAAAGACATTTGAATGGAAGAACATTTTATATCGCTCAAGCATACTTGTAAAATGCTCCGAAAACTATTCTTGTCACCTTGTTCCTTGATAATCAATAAATAGCTGTTAAATTAACGTGAGATAAGATAGGTTAAAAAGGAAGTTTGCATGTCATGTTAATTTTTCGTCTATTTATTGATTGTCAAGGTAAATGGATAGTTTTCAGAGTATTTTACAAGTATGCTCAGGTAATCTGAAATGTTCTTTTACACAAATATTTTCTCATTTGAAAATTACGCGCAAAAATCTTGGACATGCGTTTTCTCACTTTGAATGTCTTCAATCAAGAGTTTCACGAGGGAAAGTTTTAAGGCCTAAGTATTGATCTCATTCAAGTAAAAAAATTTTTTATAAAATAGTTTTGAAAGTTATTCCTGAAGAGAAAGTTTCGTGGTCCAAATAAAATTGACTGTCGAGATGTGCGATTTTCTGAATGTACATAATTATACACGTACATGTTTATATTATATTGGTTTACTCAGCGGGAAATTCACTGTTTAGGATAAAATTCACGGATTAGGATAAAAAATATAACTCTATTTAGAGTGAGTAAACAGTATTATGTCAACAGGACATTACTTTACCAATATAAAAAATGTGTAGAGAAGTACGATTTCCTGAATGTACTGAATGTAATGAGCATTTATTTTTGAATATGTGCCTCAGCTTGAAAGTTCAATAAATCTAATAACCATGATAAAATAAACATAAAAGCGTCAACGATTCTGCTCTGAACACGAAATTCAGTGAAATTTATTGTTTCACGGATTGGAATGAATAATATATAGGTCTATCTAAGGCGACCTAGACAGAGTCGTTACTCTGTCGATATAAAAAAACATGGGGAGAATTCGAAGTAAATGTACATAATTATGCACCTTAATGACGATGTGACAAACGCGAGACGCGAAGAAGACGTTAATCTAACGCTGACAGAGTGACGCCGCTAATTACGGTGCGTTCATCAGCGAGCGGAGAGGCGGCACCATGCATAATTATTCTCTTAGTATGTCTATACGCTTACCTTGATACCTATATTTAACTCGACCCGAAGCTGCCGCGAGCATTCTGTTAGCTTCATATATACACATGACGGATATTATCACCAGACAGCCACATAATCCATTTTGTTATGCATTAATCAAGGATACTCTATACGCACACATGACGCAACAATTTCGCGTTTTTTATTCAACGCGGAGCGAGTGGGTGTCGTTGACTCGCAGCAATTGCAAAATCGAACGCGCAATATAAAATGATAAATATTATTACGTCTTACGGAAGATGTTGTTCCAATCGTTCGACCTGTTTGTCGCGACATGTCGAATAATTTATATGCAGCGTACTGTATCCTCAAGGTTTCCTTTGCGCAACTTTTCACGAGTGTCGCAATTTTTCATACGACAATGCGCGTTAAACGCGTTGTCGATTTGTTTTCTGGCTTCCGTTTTCCATTTCTAATAGTTAGAGCGCAATGGTGATTGAAGCACTGCGATTGTAAGCGACGCGGGTATGAGAAAGCGAGGAAATAATAATCGTAATGAACATCAATATAATGAGAATTATAGAGACAATCGACTTACATCGCATCCGTTGGAGCGTACGGGCTTCCTCCGTTTTGTGTTGCCAAACTCGACGCGGACAAGGATTCCAAGGGAATCTGCACGACAAAAATCAAGGGAGAAACAAATTGAAATCGCTTCTATCGAGATATGTGGAATTTTGAATATTTTACTCGTGCACGGAAAAAACTATGTTAGTGTAAATGAATTTCCTGTTATTTGTTGGGAAGGAAACTCAATTGTAGAAAAAAAAATATTTCTTTGTACACCCAACAAAATATTTTACTGCTTCAGATAGAATTCTACACTGAGAGAAATTATCCGATATAAAATTAACAAACAAATATTTTCAATCAAAATACCAATGAATTTTTATATTCCATCAGTATATCTGATTAAATTTAATCTGACACTTTCGATAGAATTTTATTAAACAAACCGACCAAAAAATTATGAACCAATATCTGTCATCAGATGTTTCCTGATCGGATACAAAAATTCATCGATATTTTTACTGGAAGTATCCATTTGTTAATTTTTCTTGGATTCTTAATTTGTTAATTTTTTTCAGTGTACGTATTGCTGTGTTAAAATTTATCGCTGTTTTTCATATTTGCTAGAAAATTATCTGTGGTACGTAATATTTGCAGCGGCAGCATTCAAGCAATGTCCACAGACAAATTTAGGTCCCGTTATCAATTATTAATCTGACCATAACTGGATGAGCGTCATAGAGAGACTTCTTTGCTAAATTTTACAAAACACTAAATTTTCAGATACAAATTCTATCTACCATCTGTGTATCGGTTAAATATAAAACATAAACACTGCGATATCGCAGTGTTTACTAGTCATTTATCTATCTCAGCTAATTTCTCGCATCTAAATAATTTCCGCTATGACTACAAGATAATTTCTTTGAATAGGAAGTTTCCACTCAATCAATTGCTCTTCATTTATCTCAGTATTAATGCAACTAAATGTTCAAACGAATATTTTCGGTCACATTGACAGAGATATCACTTCTCGTCAGCGAATTTTTTTGTCTGAATTCAGTTATAAATTCTTTTTTGTGTAGAAATTCTTTTTCCATGTGGTAAAAGGGTACACTTGTTAGGAAACTCACGTCGGAAAGAACGGTGCACTCGTAGCTGGCCTGATATTTGCCTTGCTCGTGAAGGGGACGCCTCAGTATCTTGTCACGGTCTTGCTTGTGCTTGCGGTCCGCTCCCTTCAATTTGAAAACTTTCACTTGGCACGAGGCTGCGTGCAAGCGCGGTCCCCCCGGCAATCGGGTCTCCACTTGAATCCGAAAGGGCACGCCTTTCTCGCCACCGTGCTTCTTCGGCGTAAACTCGGTGCTTATGCAATTCACCTATTCGGAGGGAACAATACTCTGCAGTCTCCGCAGCAATCACATGCAAATGGCTGCGCGCTATTCGCGACCGAACGGCTGTGATATTTCTCGATAAATACTTCCCGAAATATCGCGCGTATATATGGAATTTCAAGGGAATCTAAGCATCGGAAAACTTCTTTATAATTGTTCTAGAAAAAGCAATTATGAAATGAGAGAAGAAGAAAAGAGAAGAATTATAAAAAGAAAGAAAAAAGGCAAGTGAGAACTAGCGGTTGTGAGTATTAAATTTTATGAGAGGATAATAATGTCTGAAAGTGTTAACGCAGACTCCGAATATTTTCTCGAACTTGCAATGTACGCGATGAATTAATCTTCCATGTCGCAAACCGATCCTTTATCCTAAATTATCAATATTAAATAATCCTAATATCCATCTCGAACAAACCATTTTAATCACGCGCTTTATTTTAACGATTCGTTTTACGATGTGTCAATAATAATTTCAAATATTGTGAAAAAATATTGTCTCAGCCAGGAATCACAACTATTGATACAAATAATTTTGGACGAAGAAGGAGAAAGATGTGTGAGGGAGGAAATCAATGAGATCTGGAGCGTACTTTAATGTAAACTCCGACTTCTTTCGTGGGATCCCACATGAATTCCACGCTATTGTTTGACGGCGACGGTTGGCAGACGTCTACCATTCCGTAGCTGAGGGGCACGTCGACCTCCAGTAGTCTCTCACCCGGTCTAGCGCGTTGCCATGCCAGCATCTGCTCCCGCTCCGTGTATTGCAGCCGTCGCTCATGGAAGCAAATGCGTATCGTCGACTGGAACAGAAAGCCCGGATGTCCCTACAGAGGCGTTGTAGCACCGTTTGGGCGACTCACATCTTTCGAACGTCGAGGACACCCGGGAGCTCACGCCAATCGCGTTAATACGTGTTAATAATTGTGCGAATATGATTCCCGTGCCATGTCTCCAAGCCGGCAGACTGCTGCGGCAGAATTTCGAAACGAATCTGCGTGGTTGTTAGCGGAGTCAGCAAGGATATCCACAGCTGGATGCAACTGTTCACCGTGTTATATAATTCAGCGTCGACGACTGTTATATCAGCACTTGCAAAACTCATGCGCGGTATTTCATGTGCGATATCATATCTTATGTTTTTAATTAAAATTGAATTAAATTGAAATGATTAAAACAAAGATAAAGCTAAAGTAAAAGTAAAATAAAAGACTGATTGAAGACTAAATTGAAGATTAATGGAAAGTAAATAAGTTTTGTGGGTTTTGTGATTCAACCGTCGATCGACGTGGAATTAACCGGCCTTTTTTTTTACATTGTCGAATTTTTATTCCGATCGAAAGAGTAGGCGAACTATCCGGTTAACACCGGCGTGAACTCGCTCTCGCTCACCTCGTGAGGAACTACCAAAGCGTTTTTTAAGATGCAGCTACCCAAACATTAGAAGCGTCCAAACGAGCGATCGCTGGTATTTAAAGACGTGGTACCTTCAGAATTTTGCCGCGGTAGGCGGATAAATCGCCCAATTTCTTCAGCTTGATCTCGTATGATTGCCCCTGGTTCAGGTACGTCAACGTTTCCTCGTTAACTTTGGTGGCGATGCTAGTAGCGGCAGCTAAGACGTACTGAAAGCTAAGGATAGCCAAGTCCCGCGATATAATTAGTTAGATTGAATATCGAATTAAATATGCTACACAAAAGCTATTCTATCAACCAGCAAGGGAAGATGGAAGAGTTCTTTACTGATTATGATGAGCCTTCAAGAGACTGAAACAACCATTCAAAGTTAATTTCGAAGATTTGATAATGAGCAAATATATTTGCAATTACGAGATATATGAAAAAACGTTCCAATTTGCTAAAGCTCGAATACACATTAGAATTCTGTATTTAGATTTCTCAAAAATGTTATATTTTCGAACATACTTAAATTCCCTATTATTTTTTTGTAGGAATTTGGAAATTTTGGTGAAATAATTATTTATGAGAAAATTTGTGAATTTTTGTAGAGGCAAAAATTAAAGAGGATTTGATGTCGCATTCAACAGTGTGCAATAAAATTATTTTCTGAGACCGCACTTTTAAGATACGAGCTGTAAGCTTCAAATAGATGCAAACGCGTCACATCGTAAGTAGGACGTAATACATAGAGCATTCGCATCTACTTACACGTAGGGCCGATTTAACACGTCTGCAACTACTTATGAAGTTCACATAAACAGTCCCCCAAATGTAACATATTTAGATCTTCCATAGATGTAACATATTTAGAGTATGATCTCAATACGATCCTCTTTGAGATCTTGCTGCTTTAGTGAAGAAATACATTGAGAAAAAATACTTGAGAATTTACTTACGGGATATAAAGTTTACTTCTATAAAAAATAAAATTTATCTCTGTGAAATAAAGTTTATCTCTGCGAATATATATAAATATTTTATTATATATCACACACTTTATATACCACAAACAAATTTTCAAGCATTTTCTCTTCAATATAAGAAGCATACATGGATAAAGATTCTATCATTTCTCACATAGGTTGTAGCTCAATTTATATTCATTTCTCAAGTTGTATTCGGAAAAAAAGTCAGTTTGTGTAACTGAATGTAAAACTCAGAAACTCGCTGACGAGAAATGATATCTTTGGTTTATCGTTTAATAATTGTTACTTGAAACTTGCCTCAGATGAGACATTCAGATTTTTATTTACAGTTAAACCTGAGTTTTTCAACTAAATCGCGATTGTGAATGTAAAAAATCACATATAGTATATAATTCAAATAAAAAACTTTCATCTAACTCTAAATTCAGATTAGATTTCACATAGGACAAATTTCAAGTAACTGTTATTAATATTAGCCTCTGTTACTATGGCCAAGAACATTTATCTGAATAATCATGCATTAAAACTCAATTGAGGTAATTGAAGATGATGAGTAGAAACCTGTTTTACAGTGGGGAAATCTTTCTGTTTCTACAACTGAGTTTTTCATCTGCTTCCCAGATAACAGAACATTCAGTTACACTAATGGAGTCGTTTCTTTCGTGTATTATAAATAGATTTCAAGATTAACGTATGTTTAATAGCGCACCGGCAATCCTCATTTAACTCGTTCCCCTGCTGGGAAGAAGAAACGTGATTGGCCGAGGACGAGGTCGGCTGGTATTCCTCGTTGGAGGAGTATAAGAGTTGATGAAGACTGGCGGCGCTTTGGCCGTTGTTGTTGCTGTCAGTCTCGACGGAGCCGACGTTGCCATTGTTGGACGGTTGGGCGGCGTTGATCGCCCTTTGCGACACGTGATTTAAACTGGAACGATTAGCAGAATGGCAAACGTGAAACACACTTGCCGGCCGGTGTCGCGCGGCGCAGGTGAAGCAAGAACGGCGCATTTGCGTTCCTTAAAATATCGAGCCACTCACTACAAATTAAAGAAGAGAGACGGCGAGACGTTCAGATCCGCGGGCGTTCTCATTCTGCTTGCCTGACCGCTTCCAGATCGGCTAGAGGCAAAAAATTCCCACGGAATTGCCGCGAAATTGCACGAAATTCGCGCGGTTTTCCGCCACATGCGATATCGACTCGCGGCTGTTATTCACTCGTCGCATCGATCCGTCGTTCTCGAGGAGATCACATTTTCCTTCGTCGCAGCCCCGACACGTCGCACTCGCGGGAATGCGTGAAGAGCACGAGTGGAAAGTCACTCTGACGCGCACTCCGCGCGAATTATCTCATCGCGCGCGCGCGCGCGCGATTAGTCAACTGTATTCTCGAGACGCGATTTTCCGGGCAAGGAGAGATGCACCTTTTACATAATCAACTGTTCAGCCGTAGAGCAGCAAAATCTCGCGAGTCGACCTCTTAATTTCATCGCTCCGTATCGATACGACGGCTGGCGCGCGATACACGTGATGTTACCACCGCGATACTCCCCTTTCTCGGTCGCTTCTTCGATTATCCAGCTGCGACTGAGCAGTCTTCTACTTAGATAAGAAATTTCTAGCTCGCACGACGATTTCCCGCACGAACGGCGCGCGACGCAAGTCAAATTTCCGCTCAATTACGGAAAACGGCGGGACTACGCGAGTGAAAGTGAACTCAGCGCGAAACCCAGATCCGCGATACTGTGTGTATCGCCGTAAGACGCAAAAGCTATGAGAGATTTAACGTGTCATTTAGAAGCCGGTACGCGCCGACGATTTTGATCGTTTCCACACGTGACTGCACACTGTAATTGCGATTACATGCGAGGCGGAGGACTCGCACGTGCCATCTCTTCTTCGCGCACTGTTAACCCTCGCACGTTCAGTCTGTGTCGCACTGAGAAAAAACACTTACAAATTTATTCGGAGGACATAAAGTTTATTCATAGAAATAGACTTTGTTTCACGGAAATAGACTTTATGTTCTACAAATAAATCTTTCAGAATTTTTTCAGTCGTTACTTAAAACTTGTCCCACTTGAGATACTCAGATCTGAATTTGGAGTTGTATTGAAATTTTTCATTTCAATCATATAGCATGTGAGACATTGGCTCTTATTCTTAATTTTCTTTTATCGATAAAAGTGTCTCTAAACGTGACTTGTAATCAATAATAAAATGCTTACAAGCCACTTTCAGAGACACTTTTTTCAATAAAAAAGAATTCAGAATTCCAAAAAGGATCATTAAGGTAAAAGTACCAATGCCCGGACATATATCTAATTTTGGACATCTTTCTCGTTTTGATCTTTAAATACAAATATTTAAACTTTCAACATAAAAAAAAAAATATATATATATATATATATATATATATATATATATATATAAGTATTGAGTACATACATTTTCCATGTTGGAAATCTAAATATTCGTACTTAAAGACCAAAACAATAAGAATGCCCGGGATTAGGTGTCCGAAAATTAGTGTGTTTACCTTAGATCTGTAATTTAAAAAATGAAGAAAATAAGTTAATAATGATTCTATATTCAAATCTGTATATCTCACTCGAGAGGTAAGTTACCAGTATCGACTTCAGTAGAGCTCTTTGAATCTCACACACACACACATACACATACGTACATATACACATACGCGCGTCCGACATACACAGGCTGAGATATCAACCCGATTCATGCTTTTCGATTGATCGCGTCGCGCGGTCGACTGGCGCTTTAGGTCGTGCGCGGAACAACTCGGGACTTGAGGAACTTGACGCGACGATAAACACGAGTAAGAGAGTAGAGATCTATGTCCCGGGGGAGAGAAGGACTCACTTTCTCGATAGCCACGCCGAAGCCGAGCGCAATGATAGCGGCCTTATCTACGGCCGTGTCTCTGCGGGGGAGCTGCGCGGCAAATTCCGCTCGGAATACTTTTTACCCCCGTCGCCCCCAACCTGCCCCGCGGAAGATAGCACATGTCGTCGTGGTCGTCTCTGACCACTCTGTTCTCGTAATCGTAGTAAATTCAGTTACTATCATCACGAGTGTAATTCGCCTGTCACTCGCCTACGCGATTTTATCATCATCAACGGGAGGACGACGTGTATAAATAAATCAACTCGCGGATCTGGACGAAAGTAGGACAGACCGGGTTTAGTTGACTGAAAGTCCAAATCTCCTAAAATATTTGAAAATTTATTTGCGGGATACAAAGTTGATTTCGCAGAAATCAACCTTATTCCATAAAAGTAAACTTTATGTGTTATAAATAAATTCTCAAATATTTTTTCTCAATGTAGCTTCGCCAATTAACGATTTGTCAAAGAAATTCGGTACAAAACAATATGAAAATTACAGCTTACCATATTTTTTGTTAACACTAGGTTTACGGGATAATTTGACGGGTATCTGGAAAAATAGCTATACGACATAGAGAATTTCAATATTAGAAGAGGAGTAAATGAATAATTTGGATATATATTCGTATTATTCCATTAATAAAAGTCAACAAAAATTGCTAGAAAATAATAATAATAGTTTCTGTAATTTTGCTTGTGAAATCCGAAACCCGTCAAATTAGGGACGGGTCCCGTAAATCTAGTGTTAAATCGCAAAATTTACAGGATCGTCGATGACAAAAACATTGAGAAAGCTTGTCTCTATCATGCATGTACAATCAATCATAACATTTACTTGTCTGAAAAGCCGTAACTTCGAAGTTTTGAAAAGTTATCCTGGCCCGGTCTCCCCTATACACATGTTGAGTTTGATCGATAACATTGCGACACCTTTTCAGACAATTACGCGAGGCTATTACCAGATATTATCGCGAAGCTATTGTCAAGTGGATTGGCCTATTTCCGCGCAACACCGTGCAACCTGAGAAAAGCGACTTTGATAATCTGTGCCAACTTACTTGGGATTGTTGGCTTGGTTCTCGGGCGACGGCGCTTCCTGCTTGAAGACTGTTAACGACGGCAAAGCGAGGAGGGCTTCGCTGGAAGGGGAGAGAAATTTTCGCTGAGAATTAGCATTGTTTCTTCGATCCTGTTTGGGATCACATTTTCTCCGTGATCGCGATTTCCTATTTAATTTGCCATTATTGTGGCGCGCAAATATTGTTTTGTACCAAAGAAATCGGTCGATTCCGTATTTTTCTTCGTGTTCTCATTCTGCCGACAACACGATTGATAGAATAACTCGCGTTCTTTTTTGTTAGTATTTATTGTCAAGTACGTCAGTTACGTTGACGCAAAACGACAATCACGCGCGGTTGCGCAAAGATCAGAAGTTAACGGTGGCTTCAGTCACGCAAAACACCGAACGAGGACTCGCACGTGATAACGAAACAATAATTTGAGAACCACTACGATAATATGTGTGAGTCAGTAAGGTCAGCGCGAACCGGAATGAACTAGTTCACTGGCACAACGGATTTAATCGGTATGAAATAATACCGCGATATACCGTGTCATAAAAATATCCGCCGAAATTTATTTACGATTCTATGACATCTATGTAGGACAGCTGACTGTGTCACTTCCGTCCGTTTGTTACAACGCGAACAAACAAATGTTTTTCGCTAAAATTTCTCGCCCGTCCTACTCGGAGTACCACGTTTCTTTCTTCTCTTTTTAAGAAGGTTCCAATACTACTCACTAGTCAATCAGTAGTTTATCAATAAGATTTAAAATGACCGAGAAATAATTTTGCAACAATATTAGCGAGATGAAATTAGTCACGATATGTAATTGCTGTCTATTTTAAAAATCATCAAATATTTTAAAGATGACTAAATAAAAGTTGTAAGTCACATATTTGATGTTAACGAACATGAACGTGAAATGTACTCGTTATTGTATCGGACAAATGATCAATTTCACTTAATTTGAATTGGAAATGCATAGATGTTACATTAAAATAAATAATAAATATAGAAATAAATCTATAGAAATGTATGTGACATATTATGAGATTATTTCAGATCTGGCGTTTATTTATCACGTATGTGATGTTGCGATGTTTCCCCACTCATATATCGTCGAATTCACGAGTTTTATAATCGACAGATTATAAAATTAAATAAATTTTTTTACTAAAATGTGCTCAAATTTTCACTTCATTATTACGACAATTTTCCAAACTTCTATCTTATACACTGACAAGGAGATATTCGAAAATTTATGTAAATAAACTTATATATATATATATATATATATATATATATATATATATATATATATATATAT